GGTTTTTGAGGTCCGATGGCGGTTTCAGCATTCAGAAATGGTTGCTTACCCATATTCCATATTCCTCCCCAGGCAAGATCTCTTTTTATTTTGCCTTTGTCTTTTGTTCTGTGTTTCTTCTACTGTAATTTTTGAAATTGAACAATTTCCTTGCTGCTGTGATGGCAGTTGCCCAGAAGTGCCAGGAAGGTTGATGGCCGTTCCAAGGGGTTCCGGTTACCCCTTTTCGCCCGATACTCTCAAACGCAGGATGTTTTCTCTTCTCGCCTCCGAAGTAGTAATCTTTTTCAAACGGTTTTGTGTTTTTTGTTTCGCTATCTGTAACCCCATTTGATGTGTTTCTTTAAAAATACGAATGATGATGATGATCCAATGTTTGGATATATTTGTTGTTGCATAATTAATTAATTGAAGTTTCCCCTGTATGGCTGTATCAGTTAGTGTTGAAAACCTACCCAAACTAGTGGAGGACATTGTCCAGACATCCATAAACACAGGTCCCAAGGGAGCCCTAAGGTTAGTTCAAGGTATACAAGCGTTTGTTGGAGTTAGTGGGGAATGGTTAGCTGACGTATCAAAGGTACCTGCCATATTCCCAGTCTCTTTATTTGACTCGAGTGAGAGTTTTTTTTGGTCATCACTACATTTTCTCTTCTGCTCCCTTCCCTCTAATTGGAATATTGGATACTCATTCATTTATGTAATACTGTCATATTGTATAAACACACACAAGTGCTTTTCTTTTCTTATAATCCTCCAATTTTCTCCAGTCAACAAATACATCTGCTGGATTACCACCTCAGTTGCAACTTGGGTTACTTTCACCGCTTTACTTGAGGAGACTGTTTGAACGTCTGGGGGCAACCTATATCAAATTAGGTCAGGTAACCCATTATTTCTTCCTCCTTCTTTCTGATTATAATTATATGTTAACTTCTGATACAACATAAAGGAGATTACTGTTTAGTTATACCGAACAACTGATCATCAAAGGTTTAGATATATATCTATATATATATATATATATAGTCAGAGTCAGACAATTGATCATTGTGTTCATTAAAACAAGGCGTTGTGGTTCCCTCATGAATCTAATTGCTCCTCTGTTGTGTTGATTTTTGAATGATTAATGATCTTCTTTATGCTACTACATTCCTATCTTACTAATGCTTATTTTAGTTTGAAATTTGCTAGTTCATTGCGTCTGCACCTACATTATTCCCCCCAGAATATGTTGAAGAATTTCAGAACTGCTTTGATAAAGCTCCTGCAGTTCCATTTCAAGACATTCAAACAATCATACGTGAGGAATTGGGGAGACCAATCAATAGTGTTTATGAATATATCGATCCAACACCAATTGCCTCAGCCTCTATAGCCCAGGTTTACATCTTTCTTGATTTTTCTTTGCCTTCAGCCTTTCCTCTTAAGTCTTAAATTTCATCTCCTTAGTTTGTGGTAAAGCTTCATGATAGTTTACCAGGGCTACAATATTGTGCTTAGGTTCATGGTGCCAGGCTCAAAGGCTCCCAAGAGGATGTAGTTGTAAAGGTCTTGAAACCTGGAATCGAGGATATTCTGGTGGCAGATCTGAACTTTGTATACATTGTTGCTCGGATATTGGAGTTCTTAAATCCCGAACTCAGCCGTACTTCACTGGTAAAATTGCAGCTATAGGGTATCGTATAAATACATTTCTCCAATATTGCAATATCTATGCCTCTGCCTTCCTCAGTATTTAATAACATTCCAATCATTCTCTTTCAATCCAAAGAAGCAACAACGAATCCATATCACTCACTAACATATACATAGGGTGCACTATTTACCGGACCCATGAAAACTCAGCCTTCTTGTCATTTTGAACCACTTGTTTTGTCATTAAAAAGGAAGAAGACAAGGGAGTTTTGGCATCATCCATGCACCTTCTTGATTATAAGATATTTCTTGTAATTTTTTTTTTTTTTTAAATATGAGAAGTGCTATTATAAGATATTTCTTCTTTCAGTAGGTTGGCATTGTCAAGGACATAAGGGAGTCTATGCTTGATGAAGTTGACTTCTATAAGGAGGCTGCAAACATTGAATCCTTCAAGAGGTATCTTGAAGACATGGGATTAACAAGGCAAGCAACAGCTCCTAGGGTGTATCAACATTGCAGCACAAAACGGATTCTGACCATGGAGAGGCTATATGGAGTTCCACTTACTGATTTAGACTCTATAAGTTCCCTTGTCTCTAGTCCAGAGAACAGTCTTATTACTGCACTTAATGTTTGGTAAGATGTCCACGGTTCACAAACTTGTGTAATTTCCATTTTTTTCCCATGAGATGTGGCATTTAAGTGAAAGCACTTCTTCTTTTGAAACCTTGATAAAAATGCAGGTTTGGTAGTTTGCTTGCCTGTGAAATCTTCCATGCTGATGTCCATGCAGGCAATTTGTGGTTGCTGCGTGATGGTCGAATTGGTTTTCTTGATTTTGGTAAGCATGTATACTCGTTACACCTGCTCAACAGATGTAACTGGTTGTTTTTATGATCCATTTCTATTCCAAGGTGGTGGATTTCAGCCACAGTGGACATGTTTCTTTTCATGAGAATAGGTTTGAATGTGATTTTAGTCCGTGTGCTTGTTTATTATTTGCTGATAATTACATGCACCAGGGCATTGCATTCATTTGATGTAAACAATTCTTGTGAATTATATCTCATGTCCATTCGTAAAAGCAATTTTTCATATAACTGAAGATAATATTACTTTTTTAAAGGAATTGTTGGACGCATATCTCCAAGAACATGGGCTGCCATGGAAGTATTTTTGACATCTATTGCAACTGAAGAATATGAGTCAATGGCCTCTGCCTTGATTGAAATGGGAGCTACAAACAAAGATATTGATGTTAAGGCATTTGCAAGGGACTTGGAAAAAATATTTTCATCTATACAGGTGAGTATATCGCGAGCTGCAAGGACATCCTTAGAAGCAACATAGACCAATTCTTTGAATGAGTTCCCTTTTTAAAATTTCCTTCTTTATGAGATTGAAATTGGTAATTAACCCCCTTTTCTTTTTTGGGTATTATTCCAGGAACTGGATACAGAAATAGTTGTTGCTACTTCCAGAGGGACAAACACAAATGCAACTGCCATCTCTGCCAATCTGGTTGTTGATGAGAGGCAGATGAATGCACTTTTCCTTGATGTGGTAAGCTTTGTTATTCAAAATCTGAGTAATTTAGACATCTAGAGAAGTGGCAATTTCAATCTATCATTTGATCCAAAGCTTTATATATGACCTGGTGTTTGCTGTGGATATCAAGTGGGATGGATTTAAGATAGTAATCTGTCTTCCTTTTTTATGATAAATGCAGTGTTTGTTTTGTAAAATGTGTCCTATCACTTTGATTGAGTAGTACTAATGCCACTCCTGGATCTGAAGGCAAAGCCTGTGTTTTTATTTGGTTGTTTGCAGGTTCGAGCAAGTGAATCATATGGACTGAGATTTCCCAGAGAATTTGCACTTCTAATGAAACAGCTTCTATATTTTGACCGGTATACACGGCTATTGGCCCCCAACTTGAACATGCTGCAGGACCAGAGGATCTCCATTGTGTCCAACCGGCGAAGCAAGAGCTACGGTGCAAATAAGTATTAGTGACACCCATCAAAATAATAATAAGTATTAGGGACAGACATATACTATATCTAGCTAGTGAGAGAATTCCTGCTGGTCAAAAATAAAAATAGAGAGCAAGTGGGAGAAGTCCAAATGAGATGTTTTTAACTTTTTCCATGAGTAATGTTTAAAGTGCATAAAGGCACTTTTATTACAATAGAAATTATTTTTTTCTCATCTTTTAATTATGTGTATATATTATTTGATTCAAATTTTTTTTTAAAAAAAATTTTAATTATTATTAAATTATTTAAGTTATTAATAATAATTTATTATTATAGTATAAGATATTTCTTTAAATCAAATGGATTGATTACTTATTAAATAAAAAAAATAGAAAAGAAAATTAGAAGAGAGATAAAATTTTGAGATATAGGAAATATAATAAAAAGATGGTGTTATATGAATAATTTTTTATGTTATTAAATGAGTTAACATATTTAATATTATAAGTATTACATAATTGAAAAAATTAATAATTTTAATAATATATTAAA